AAAAAAAAAAAAGAAAATGCCCGAGGAAAATACACGGTGTGATGGCATTAGCGAGCGGGACCGCCGCGTTGCGTGCCCCCGGGGCACCGAAACGAACCCCCCTCTCCCCCCACCACCACCACCACCAACGGCCCGGTGGACTCTGTCGTTCTCTGGGGAGGCAGAGGGAATCGGCGACGTCGTTGTTGAGGTGAGCCCCCTGGTGGCGGGAGAAGGAACTTGGTGCGTGTGAGTGCTGGATCGCGCGGTCTAGCGGAGTACCTGAGGACTCATGGTTTCGGCGGATGGGTACATATGAGTCGTGGTTTCAACAAGTTTTCTATTGTTACGTTCATAATCGCATATTTCTCTTTTTTTCTCTTATACGATGCATATGGAGACTGATAGTCGTCACTATTATTATTATTATTATTATTATTATTATTATTATTATTATTAATAGGTTAATTTCAAAATAATTCCAAAAACAACAACTGACATCGCGCAGTCAACTAACAGTACACAATTTCATTATATCGAAGCATCACAATAAAATTGAACGTAAAGATACCAATGAAATTATCATTTTGGCCCTGATGGATACATGTGCAGATAAATCAGAAATATTGCTAAAACGTTTGGAAAAATTCAGAGGAAAACTATTACTGAGTCTAAATAATGTTCTTTAAAGACAGGCAATACCAGCGACACAACAGGTCTCAATTAGAGACAACACGTACCAAGTTACTTCCTTGCTGAACAATGTAGATGGCAAAATATGAGAATTTTCACACATCAGTTCATCACTGACTCACAGAGTTGTTTAATCATCGTATGTCCAGCTGCTTCCTGACAATAACTTATCCCTCCTTTGTCATGACAGATGGCGGCGGGTCCGTCACAGTCAACTCAAATTTATCGTACAGAACGGGCGTGCATCCGAAGAGATTGATTTCCGATTACTTTTTCAGCACACAAATCACTGACACAACACCATCATTTATTCTGAAACTGATTACCATGACTAACTTGCATTCAGTGTTCGTCCGGTTGCTGCAATGAAAGTTTCAAAACTCATCACAATCACAAAACGTGTATGTTAATTTACGTTACACATATCAGCAGTTTAGACAGCATTAAATACGGGGGCCAACATTTGAATGATAATTCATTAACGATCGAGACTAATAAATTACGTACTTGCATCGAGAAAATCGACGTCAGCCTTCAACAACACGCGAAGAAACTTTCGTCCGTTCGGGAAATGACTACTGACTTTCTGAATGGAACGTTGTCTTTTTTTAAGCAGCGGCATTCGAGACGAAGAATAGAAACACTAGTCGCCGGAAGAGCACTCAGGGGCCAACAAAATACCAAAAGACCTCGCGAATCGCGTACGATATCGGAGCCGATCGCGGCGTTTCGAATCGCCTCAAAACAAGAAGAAAAACGTCGGACGGGGGAGGAGCGGGGAGGGCCCAACAATCGGCCGGCAGTCATCTGTTTACGCAGCAACTGACTGCTCACGGGGCAACACAATGCCCGGTATCGATTTCTGCTAATTGACTGGACTCGTGGAAAGGGAGAGATGTGCGGGGTGGGGGGTAAGAAGGGGCAAAGTTTGGGCGTTCAGCGTTCCAAGCCAACGCCCAGAATAGGGGATCGCTCGAGAGCAAGGGAGGAAGGGACACGACACAAAACAGACAACGCGGGGAGTTACGGGCACGTGGACGAATCTGGGCAGCTTTCAAAGGACCACTTCGAGATTCCCCACTTAACCCCTTTATTCTCTGAAAGCCCACTTCAATATTTATCATACAATTTGTCTCTGATGGCGAGTCATTACTACATACGCATTTGCATACGCATAAGCATTTGTATGAGTGAATCCAAATCAAATGTCTAGAACGTTAAACAACTTTTACACTACTAATTACTTACTATCACGATGTCATTGAATCAAGAAGATATTATCTGAACGTTGAAATTGATACTTGAAAATATTCAGTTCCTGTATGGGATAAACGTGCTCTACCGATGTGCCGTTTACTCAATACTACACAAATCCGGTGAAATAAAAAATAATTTAATGCTCTTTCTTTTTCATATTCCCTCAAAATTTTATGCGCGAGAGTCAGCCCGGTTGCGGTATATCTGAGTTCCCACTATTCTATCACGAAAGTGACCTTGCAAGACGGCCACGAAGTGATTTGCGCGTCCTAGTCAGGTCCTAGCGCTGCGGCGTCGGCCGTGGCGGAGTCGAGGGAGACAAAAGCCGACCGCTGACGGGTTGCGCCCTCTCGCGGCGGCCGTTAATTTCCGAGTAGGCCGTAAGAGTGCGCCGCCGGCGGCGGCAGAGGC